TTTTTTTTATAAAATGCAAAATGTAACAGCAAGGTAAAGGGCACATCTTCGATGGAGATGAGAAACGTGTGTAACAGGTCAGAAAGGTCTTAATTAGCATGTTAAGCAGAATAAGTTCTAAACATTTTCCGCTCTTGTTTTGTTTTGCAGTGCGTGGAAAGGTGCGCCAGATCGCGCGGATATGGTAATGTTACACAAATGGCCGCGGATTCCGACTGACAAGAGGAGCTGCAGTGATTTCCCAGTGATGAGTAGTGAAAGCACTGCTATAGGGGAATCCGCCCCATTGGTGGCTGGGTATTTGGGAAAAGTCAGTTGAACTCAGTTTCTCTCTCTGTCACTTGTGCAAAGCTACCTAAAAAAATCAAATAAATGCTAATTGGGCCCCTTACCTTTTCAATTCTGTCTTTTTGTTGGCAAAAGACACACGGAAATCTTAAAGGGGAAAAAGGCGGAAGATTTGTTTTCTGAAATGCCATTGACTTTTTCATGTGACTCAAAAGCAAGTTAATACGAATGCAAGGATTCCAGTCTTCTGTAGCACGCAACTGCGTTAGCTTTTATCCGTTATGTACAATAATAGTTTGTACGATTGAGATCTGTTCCATTTCTTTTGAAGGACTGGAATATGTAAGACTCAATAAAATATTTCTAGACCTTGTACAATTGATGTACGCAATATTAAAATACAGCCTTTATGTATTGCTGTGTTTTTGTGAGGCATGCTTTAATTGACTGCCTCTAGTTTTATTATAAAGCACTGGTTTTCCTGTGTATTGTGATGCTTGCTTTCCAAAACTCATGAAGGCTCCAGAGTGTGTACTGACAGCTTTTGCCTCCATGGCATGGTACTGCTTTTTCCATTACTGTGGTCTGTGCTCAATAATGAAATGCACTGTTTTTATTCTCAAGTCTCAAGAGAGGTTGCACTTGGAAAAGAACTGTCCAGTGTGTGCTGCCAAAGGTCAGACGCAGGCCCTGCGAGCCTTCCACATCAGTTTTCAGGAGTCTATCATCCTCTGTGGAAACCCCCAGGTAAGCCATCGACAGACATTACATTTGAAATATTTTCTGTTTATGTTTCCTTTGGTATTTGTGAGAGCAGCAACTTATTTTAGAGGGATGAAGACATGGCAGAGGGGTGGGACAGTGCTTAGCATTGGTACCTCGTAGTGCTGTGGCCCTGGGTTCAATTCCTGGGGTGCTCTCTGCATGGAGTTTGTATGTTCTCCCCATGTTTGTGTGGGTTTCCTCCGGGTGCTCCAGTTTCATCCCACGGTCCACAGACATACTGGTAGGTTAATAGGCTTCAGGGCAAATTGGCCCTGGTGTCAGCGTGTGCGCATCTGTTTGTGTCTGTGTATCTGCCTTGCGATGCATTGATTGCCCAGATAGGCTCTGGATGGATTATGGAAATGATAGAGGGTTTTTGGCTGACCCATGGCTGACAAATAGTGCTCTTCGCAAGTGAGATCAGACTGGTTACTTGACAAACTAGGGTTAATGCCCAGCCTCACTTCTGAAAGTTCTCTTGGGTTTCTATCTGGGAAGGTAACTTACCAAGTCTCCCACCACCCTATGTGTACAGAAGTGCCTTGTAGGTTCTCCTCTGCCTTTGAACCCTCTAACCTGCAGGCTCTCCAGTAATACTTGACCTTTTACAGATCCCCATGGGTAGAAATCTCTCTTCATGAGGATCGTTGTGTCAAAAGTCAGAAAGCCGACGATGGGTTTATACCTTCAGGATGTACAAAGGTTCCTTGTGCAGTAACGACCGAGCTCTAATCAATCTGTCAGTTTTCACAATACACTTTTTTTTTTACTCTCTCCAAGTTACAAAATAGAACAGGGGTGAGCAATCCTAGTCCTGGAGGACTGGTGTATCTGCAGGTTTGCATTCATGCACACCCGAATGAACCAGTTTATTACTGGCTTAACTGGATTAATTTAATAGCTTCTCCCAGCTTTCACTTGCTGGGGCTTTGAAGAGACTACTAAGTGTCCAGGACTAAGATTTCCCATTATTGATGTAGAGCTGCTGTGTTCGGTTTGAGAATAATTTGAAGATCTGATTTTGCAATAAAGCCTTATAAATCCTATTATAGTTATCAAATGAAGAAAATAAATTGACCCCATTATGGTTGAGTAATAATATTCAGATGTATATTGATTTAAAAAATATATCGATGACAGGAGAATAATGTTAATTTCTTAAGCAGTTATTTATTAAGAATGTTTTAATCTTTTCTGTTGTGTTGTCACTGATTACTTTTTAAGTGTATAATGGGGAAATTGAGTATTGTTCATCACACAAAAGGTTTTGCGAAGAAGAAATACTTGCTTCTGAGATGCAACGCTTCTTATTTCATTATAAGGTATTATAATAAAAATCATAATAACAGTAATCTCTTTAATTCTTGTTTTAGTGCATTTTTCCTCTAGGAAGCAAACCTCTGGCTGACATTCTCTTGCATGGTACGTCAGAGAAACCTCACATTGCAAACAGCTACGCGAGGAAGAGGACGCTCAGCAGCTCAGGTGAAACGCAAGCTGAGCCTTCCTCAAAGAGCCCGAAGGCAGCGGAGGAGATTGACCCAGCTCAAAATACATCTGGAACCCGTGTTGTCTGCAAACCTTGTTCGGTGGTTTTGACTTACAGCAAGGTCTGTGAAAGTAAATTGCAGACTGAAGGCCAGAATGTGCATTACGTTGACACCAGATCACCGCCAAAAGAGTTGGACTTCTCATGTCCAGACCCTTGCAGCCCAGGCAAAGACACAAAACAGCCAAGCCCTGCAAAAAACAAGCCATGTGAGGTGACATCTGAAGGTGTGCAGGAAGGCTCTTCAGAAGAATTAGTTCCTGCTCCTCCCTTTCTCTTCTGGAAAAATCAACATTCACTGTGTTGGCTGGACAGTTTAATGGTGGTGTTAGTGCATTCTAGCGCTGTGAGGGAAAATTTGAACACCCTGCAATCTGACAGCTCTCCACTCAGAAGACTGTGCACTGAATATGACAAAGCACAAGCACTTTTACAAGAGGCACAGCGGACCAGCAGTGAAGGTGGGTACACATGCCAGGCATTACTTTCTGGTGATGCCTCACATAGCACCCTTGTATTTCTCTTTTAATCAAGAAACAATCGTTTTTCTCAGAACTCTGATCAGGAATAACCAAGATCTGATTGTCCATCATTTATTCCATCACTTTGTCATTGTAGTTTCTCAAGATCTCTTCTGGCTAATATATTGGCATGTGCCCGGGTTTTTAAATAGAAAACATTGATTCACAGCAATGCTGTGGTGCTTATTCAGTTAGTACTTGTGCTAAGACTTAACTGTTAGAATTTGAATTTAAAAGATTAATCCTTGGCAGCAGTATCATAACATTTGGGTTTTCATATCTAGCATTGTTCTTAACTGAATCACGCGAAGTGAAATGATTGTTTCACATCCTATTATTTTCAGTTGAGTGTTCAGGACAGGTATTGACTAATTACTTGATCTTGTGATTTAAAGTGGATACGTGTAGTATCTGGCCACAGTGACTGGCAGTAAATTTACCTGTTGGAAGCCTTGTCATGTGCTTAGCAGCTGATACAAAACCCATGTGTAAGATTCAGATCTTGTGATTGGCAGAAGAGCTGAGGAGGAGAGGGATTAAGTCACAGTTGTTCTGGCAGTATGGTGATAGGAAAGCTTGATGATACCACAGGATGTGCATGTTCCACACTGGCCACTAGGGGACCACTCCCTGGGTGTCCTGGGGATGTAAAATGCAGAACGGTCAACCTGACATGTTCCTCATGAGGTTCAACAGATGCCTTTTCCTGATTATTTAAAAACAAAATCCATCCTTGGTATATCTATATGTTTTCATAGTTTTATACTGTATTTCTGTTTTGCACTTATTGTTTTTTTTCACATGGAAATCTGTGCAGTGTATGTTAATATACACAAGGGCAAATGAGCTTCTCAATACCATTGTTTTTTTTTACTTCTCCAATTTTTTTTAATACAGGTGAAGTCGGTAAGATCCCCTCAGGAGTCCTCCTACAGGCAGAAAGTCTCTTAAATGAAATCAGAATGTCTGTTTTCAACCTTCTGCAACCTAAACTGCGCTGCAAACTGGGTAAGTGACAAATTCCACAAAACCTAGACTAAACAGATCATCTGTGGCTATAGTGAAGAGCGAGCAATGTTTTCTGAAGCTCTTCAGTTAAGTAAGAGCTTGATCATCTGCAGTTATTGTATTGCAGGTACAAATTTTACATACAAGCCCCAAGCAGACACAAATAGTTGTATGTAAATCAAAAGGGATCTGTAAACACCTGACTTTTTTGTGATTCAGATTTAATTCATTTGTGTGTATCGGACATGGATTCAGATCATGAAGTGTGTGGCTCGATGGCCAAGGTCCACTCATGTTACTTGTGTTGTGTGAGACAATGCCACATTCTAGGACTTTTAAATTCCTTTTGCTAAACCGTAGTGGCATTCTGCAGTTTAAATTAGGGGGACCATGTCTCTGGCTCGTATGTGTGCCCTTGTCATATTTGCAAGTGTAAATTCACAAGTACATCTCTTTTTGCCATTCAGCTGTGAGCACATTTTTTTTCTGTTCATTTTCTGGGGCTAACAAAAAGTGTAGACATATACCACCTTTTACATATATGCGTTCATAGATGCAGGAGGTCTCCCTGCATTGTAGTGAAGCAGGAGGCATGCAGTTTGATGCCTCACTAGAGCAGGATCTTAATTATTTTCCATGTGTGAAAATGAAGGATGATACAGGGACGGAGAGTAAATCAACCTCATATTTCCAGACTTCATAGGCTATCTTTGGGGGTCTGACGATGTTTCTGGGTGTTCTCCGTCTCTGTAGGAAGCCAGGAGAGCCCTGTCTTCGCTCTGCCCCTCCTGCTCCAGCTGGACCAGGTGACCGAAGAGCTGTTCAAGTCCTCCTTTCACTGGGAGTTCGCCTGCTTCGCATGTGGCCACAGCTCTAGGAGCAGGTAAAAGGCGGCGTTCTTCCAGCTTCTTCCTTTTAGACCCACAAAACAGTCTGTGTCTCCATCTTCGACTGCTGCCCACAGCATTTTGCTTTTTACGTTTGCTTCCTTGTGACTGGGGGTCTTTTGAACATGGCTTACTTGCTGTTAGGCACAAGGAAATTGAAGTCCTGGCTCAAACAGTGGTGCTCTTTAAATGTCTGTGTGCTCCAGCTGTATTTTGGAGAGAAATATAACTCAGAAGTACCATTCATAATTAAAACAAAAAGTCCTCTCTATATCCGGTAGTCTTTGTGTGTACCTTTTCTCTTGTTGAAACTATACAGTATTTTATTGCATGGCATTTAAAGGTCACATTCAGAGGCCTTTTAGAATAAAGTTCTAGGTATACTTTTAATTCCTGTTCGGTGGGTATTGTCTGTGTGTTCAGCCCCTCTCCTGGTCTAGAGACACCTGTATAAGAAGGCAGTCTGTTTACAGCTATTGTCAAGTCATGGTACCGTTCAGTTTTCCATGCCTCATTGTTATTCTAAGGTGTGTCTAAATACCTTGTAACAGCAGAATAACTTAGTCAAAACAGATGGTAAAAACAGGTGGTAGAGGCCAGCAGTGTTCCCTAGTCGTTGGAAAGAAAAATGCTGTTAGTGACTACTGTTCCCAAATGTACTTTTATAGTGCACATATAGATTATTTATTGGGTATGTGTCAGTACACATAATTAAAAACAATAATAAAATAAAAACTGTAGCACGATTTGCAAATCTTCAGATTAATATGGTTCTATGCCGATTTTGTGAAACACTCAAATAATTCGGGACTGACAGCTGGCACAGTAAGATATGAAATGGTATTTTATTTGTTCTACATCCAATTTTCCCTTTAAGAATATTGACTGCAAATCAGTTTGGCTGTTATTATAATGATGAAGTTGGTAGCAGCTTATTATGGCTGCTGTTCTGTAGCAGCTGCTTTTATTACCCATAGTGCATGACTTTACAAAGAGCAAAAGAACATTGTTGATTCTTTGATTTTGTGAACGAAGCTTGCAGGGTTACGCCCAACTGTTTGAAAAGTGGATGTTGCTGTAAATAAGGTGAAGAGCATTTTGAGTACTGTTGCATCTCGATGGATAATTCCTTAAGGAGAATGTGCTGTTTTCTATAAGTATTAGTGTAATTGACCAGCTTTTAATAGTGCCTGTTTATAGTGCAACAGTTCAAACTTGCTTGTATTCTCTGACCAGTGCAGTTCTTTTGCATAGCTCCTCCTGTTGAGTTCTTTTTCCATATTTTTCCTCAAGTTACCCCCTCCCAAAAATTCAACAAGTTCAGCCCATGAGTTCTTTTGATTTGAGTTCTTTCTGTGTTCAGCACTAGAAAAAAAGATATCACAGAGCACTAGGCCTCAGGAATAGCTAAAAGCGAGAGAGGAAATGTTTGGTGAATTAAATCTTAAAGAAATCCATTAATGCGAAACTTTTTTCTTTAGGCGTGAAAATACTTTAACTACGTTTACGGGTATTATACCAGAGTGGAACCCCTTGAATGCAGCCCATGCTTCGCCATGCCCGAGGTGCGACCATAAACATCAAATGAGGAAGATGGTGTTGGAAAGGTGAGTGAAATCTTTACTCTCTGCTTTCTTGGTCAGAGTGCTGGACTTCACTTCACGTGTTGTGGAGGGCAGTTAACACAACCTTTTAAACAGTTTTTGAAATGTTAAGATGTAAATGGACAAAGTGAGGGTGGGCTGGTAAGGGTTGCGTAAGGATGTCATGCGTTTGTGATTCATGATCCTAACCCGTTAAGAGGAATTATGTGTAAAAGCTTGATTTCTTTCAAAGAAAGTCATTTTGGTATTCGTTTTCTATTTATATGTCGTGCCAGTCTGGTAGGGCAGTAAACTATGGTTTCCCCTTGAGTTTAAACCACTTTGACCTGTTGTCACTCCCCTGAGTGCCTTACTGGTAGCAAGCTGAATGTTCTTTATTAATCCTTGTTTTGCATTTGACATCGGCTCTTTATCAGAAATTAAGTTGCATTCACTCTTAATATAGTCAAGGATAGACGTCTAATGCTTAAATGCATTGATTGAATGGAGCTGGAACAGCAGTTGTAACATCGGCTAGTTGATTAAATAACAAGGCTGTAAATCTTCCAGTGAGTTGCTCTTCCAGCATCCCAGCCAATTCCCATTATATATCCACACGGCTATGAATTGTTCACATATGAAACTTTCAAGATGGGTGGCTTCATTCAGAAGCCAGAAAAGTGTTTTTAGTTTTAGCTTGGCTTTGCTGGATTTGTGTTAACATTAGGATGTTTTTTTTAATGTAAATTAAGCACTCAGACACCAAAGGAAAAACATTTTTCCACCTATAGCAGTAGATTTCTACTTCCACAAACAATGTCATAAATAGACAGTGAATTAAAGGAGAACTGGACATGTAGACGGTTTTTATTGGTCGCTTACTGTTAGTCTTACTGTTAATCAATTGACATTGTGTGCTAACACAGTTAAGAAAAGAAAGAGACCTGTGTTGTTGGCCTTTCTGTTACAATTTAGGAGAATCTCTTCTACCCAGGGAAGTTTGCTAATGGCGCTATTAATAAAAACTGCAGTGTTTTGTGATCTAAATCCCAATCAAGAAACCACCAAGAAGATGGTTTGTGGTCAGCTTGTCTCCATAAATGTTCTTAATTTCTCAGTTGAATAAAAGTTAAATACAAGAAAAACATGTTTTGAAAAAACACAGGTGAACATGGTTAGGCTGGTTTGCATGAGTGTGAAGTTTCCCGTTTTCTTTTTTTTGCAGGGTTCCCCCCGTTTTTATGCTTCACTTTGTGGAAGGCCTACCTCACAACGATATGAACGCTTACGCGTTTGACTTCCAGGAGATGCAGTATGCAGTCTGTGCTGTAATCCAGTATGATCAGCTTGTGAAGCACTTTGTCACCTGGCTTCATAATGAAGATGGTTAGTGCTGGTGCCTGTTCCACGTGCCTTTATGGTTTACTGAGATGCTCAGAGGGGCAATTCCAAAAGCTATTTGAATGCTCCTGTTAAATAATCTTATAGTTAAACCAGACACTTTAATTTTCATAGCTATCTCAGCTGGAGGCAGAGCTGACTCTAGTTAAGTAGTATTTGCTGTTTGAGATTGCTAGAGCTGTTCTTGCAATTGGAAGCATGCATGCAGCTTTGCCTAATAGTGTCATTTTCAATTTAGTGTTCCCAAAGACACTTTCGTTTCAGTATACGAAAGCATGGAAGTATGAGGTTAGCAATTTCTGTTATTAAGTGCCAGATTTGATTTGTATTGAGAATTTTGTGCAAGTTAAAAAAAAAAAAGTCTTATCCTTTTCATACTTTTTAAATAGGTACATGGCTGGAATGTGACGATTTAAAATACCCTCTCTGCATCCATCACAAGCACTTGGAAGTTCCCTCTAAGGAGATTCACATTGTCTTCTGGGATGCCTGTAGGAAGAGCACTGTGACAGGGTCTGGCCTCCATCTGAAAGAGGAGTGTGTCAAGCATGTTCCCCCTGAGGAAGGCACAGCAGCAGAAGCTGACGCCCTGGATACCTCTCTGCCCCTTCTTGAAGTGGACAGCAGTCTCTCTGACATAGTCGCGCAGGAGGAGAGCGATGATCTTTCTGCTCACGCAGGCTTAAACGCCACCTTAACGAACTCTGATATGCGGGATGCGTTTGAGGGTCTGTCACACAACGATATTGTTACCCTGACGCTTGTTGAGGTCAAGGTTGATGCTGAAGGGAGGCCGCTGGACAGCCACCGGGTTCCAGACTCCACAGATTGCAGTGACCAAACGGCAGCTCCTGAGGAAAACCGGCCTGGGGGTGAAGACTTCGGTTTGTTAAATAACAGCAGCGGGTCACCTCCTCCCAGGGTGAACCAGAGCTCTGAAACGCCTGCTAGTCTTCTTTGTCCTGCTGAGCTGTGCGGGCCGCAGACCAGATCTTCAGAAAAGGCCCCGGTCAGTGTGCAGAGCTCCCAGCAGACTCCGAGGGAAAAGAGAGTGACAGTTGATTCCAAGAACCGAGAGGAGTTTGGAACAGCTGCTAAGGTTCCTCCGGCATCGGATGTTCGCACCGCACTTTCTCCAGACACGACTTCGCCTCCAGCAGCCACTACAACTGCTCTCCCCGCTACTGCTGCTGCTTCTGCTGTGAATGGAGGCAAATCAGGAGGATCTGGAGATAAGTGGAGTGTTCATTTCCTCAACAGACACCCAGTGTTAAGATCAAGCAGCACGCATTTCAAAGCTGTTCCTGTGGCACCTTCCCGACCCTCACAACCCTTCCCGACCAGGGAGCAGCAGAGCCCCAGACCCTTGTTGGCGCTTGGAGACGACGGGAATTTTCCAGGGAAGTCGGCGGAAATGTTTGGGGGTTTCAGATCGAAAGGTGTCGCGACTTCCAAGGGCAGCTTGCCGTCCCGAGAGACGGGGCTGAAGATGCAAGATGTCTCCGAAGAGGCTCTTTTAAAACCTCCTTGCCCACCGTCCCCATGTTTACCCTTGAGCAAAGCCAACGTTATCAGCTCCCCGTCTTCAGACTCCGCTGGTTTCCCTGTGAATGCCACCAAGCCGGATCCGAGGAAAGCGGTCAGCACGACGTCGGCTCTTAAGGGACACGACAAGACCGACAAACTTCGTTACAAACTCCTTAAAAAGCTTAAAGCGAAAAAGCAGAAGCTGGCTTCCCTCAACAGCTTATTGAAGTTAAATGGGTTTGGAGATACTTCTGTGCTTCCGGAGAGTCACAAATCCACTGTGCATCTAGACGCTAAGAAAATCCTCCAAAGACTGGAAAGCACCGATACGGAATCCATGTACACTGTTAGCTCAGCTTCTTCCTTGTGCGCCAGTCCCAGTTACGATGAATTCTTCGCTGACCTCTTATCTCCATCCACAACTGATAGCTCTGTGTCCCCGGACAGCACTGACTGTCTAGAGAGGCTAGCAAATGGGAAACAGGTGAGAGGACTTCTGGACGGCTCCACCACTAAGCAGAACTGTTACCAGGGATCCATTCCCTTACAGACTCAGGGCCCTAACTTGGCCGTTTCTGAATCGCCTTTCGCCGTCACACAAAACGGTCTGTGTTCCACTGGTGAAGATATCTTTGAAGAGCTCATGTCCAACTCAACACTACAGTCATGTGAAGCAGAGAGCACAGACCTCAGTACATTTGACCTTTTCTTTTGAGTTTTGCCTTTTTTGTATTCTTGTTGACAGCGGTTATTTAAAATTTGTACTGTATAGATTTTTTTTTTGCTTATGTTAAGCATTAGCAGACTGAATAAGCCTGAATCACGAATCACAGCACTTGTATTTTTTTTTTAATGTGTGACATTTTAAAATACAAATTGAAAGCATTTGTTGTGAATTTATACTGGGTGACATGCTCGTGCACAGTTGTTGTCATGTTTTGTGTAAAGATCTGTATGATCCCAGTAACTGGGCTAAAATTCTTGTGTAATAAAAGTTAATTCTTAGTGGTGTATTTTGTATAACACTAGATCTTTGTGTGTTTCCAGTTGTTTATGGCCTTTGGCTATAAAGTTAGGTTATGTGGTCTGATGGCTCCGCAGTTTTATTAAGGATGACCCTGGCTGTAAGCTTCCACTGAGATCTAGTTAAGATTAGTAGAAAGATTCAGACTTGTGAAGATTTATAAGAAAAGGGCTGCAGCTGAACTACAGAGGAAGACCCATGTAGCCCGTGAATATGTGAGACAGCAATGTTGTGCACAGTAATTTAAACACTGTTGTCAGTTTTAATTTAGACATACAAGTCTGCATGCTTCTTTAATGGAGCTTATTTTGTATAAAGCTTTTTGTAAAAAAGTTATTTTTTAATAAACTAAGAGAAAACATTCAGTACCTCACCTTCTCCGTCTTGAATGTATATGTTGTTTAGGTATCTCATTATTTCCTTTAAGTCAAAAACAAATCTCTCATCACATAATCTTAATTCTAAGATCACATAAGGATATCTCGCATGTACTGTTTTATTGCAAATAATACGATGTATGTTGAATGCATTTCTTTTTCCAAGGAAAAACCTTGTGAGTTTTGTCCATAATAAAATATTTGGTTTAAATGGTGTGGATAAGATAAAGTTGTGCATTTAGTCTAAGGAACACATAGAAAGTTGAGACTGAAATGTCATTCAGTGCCGATACCATGCCTGTTGCATTTTGCTTGAGTTTATCGATGGTTAGAATTCTGTGGTCGCGAAAAACGGGAAATAGGTATGGATGGTCGTCGGTATGACCCGCGAGTCAGTTTTGGAAGTACTGATGTGTTAAATTATTTCAGAAGTTGCAATTTCATTCAAAAAGATTTATTGGTTTTCGTACATCGCACAGATAATATTCTTACGGTAGTGGCAATATGAGCTTTTGCGTTTACTTTTTCACTTTGCTATACAAAAATCTCGTCTAAAAAACAATTAGATGTTGTGTACAAAAACCCCCTGTTTTTAAAGACGAAATTTTTCGATCTGATTAATACTGTTCGGTATTTGAGTTCTAGTATTGGTATTGCTGGCAGTATTGTACGCAAGTTGCAAAGCCATTCAAAAATAGAACACTTAACACACCCGATCAAAATGAATGCTGCAAAGTTTCTAAAAATACTTGAGGCAGGTCGTGGAATAATATGTAATCTATGCGCCATCTTGCGGGCGAAACGTTTTTTGCGCCGTCATATTTTATCTAGACTCGATTTCAAAACCTAACGCGGCCTTTGAGTAACATCTGACAAAATCAAAAATGAATCGAGGTGCATTTGTTCCAGCGATCGTAACTGCAAACCATAAAACTAGAAAACATATGAGTTTAAGAATTTAGGGGCTGCTATTGCATGTTTTATGTTTAATCATCTTTCACCATAGAAAAAATAAGATAATATTTGCATTTTGTAACGCTTTTATGTATAAAAAAAACACATTCTAACATTTAGAAAAAAGAAAAGTGTTTCCGCCCGGTTTCGAACCGAGGACCTTTCGCGTGTTAGGCGAACGTGATAACCACTACACTACGGAAACAAGTTATGAGATCGGGCCCTAAATCGCTTACTCAATACTCAACGTACTCTTGTTTTACGTTATTGTGCCTGCACATATACGTTGTCTTTAAAATGTATGCCAAAATGTTTTGTGATACATTCATATTATTGGATTCCTGCCTTAATTATTATATTTCTTTAGCAGATTTTCAGATAGAGAGTTTAACCGATTTCTCGCTCACATTTCTATTTAGGTTCTCAAACCAAATAAGAAAAATACTACATTCCCATACCGGGAGTCGAACCCGGGCCGCCTGGGTGAAAACCAGGAATCCTAACCGCTAGACCATATGGGATGTTACCTAAATATTCGGTTTCCGTGCTTATGTATTAACAAATGAATTCATCATTACTCAAATCTTGTATTTGTAACTCGTACGTTATTGTTGCGGCAAATAAAGATTAATAAAATGCACAATATGAACTTTCAATTGCAAGAACCTCTCATAGCAACATAATGACAAGACCAAGAGCCGGCAAAAACAGAAGACGAAAACTTACATACGAGAGAAGATAGACTCTCCATACTGCTTAGGCTAACTCGTTTGGTGCTATTGATACTAGTTAAACCAGGACTAAACAATCTGCAGTCTTCTCCGACTGACATAATTTCGCACTTTTGCTGCAACCATCTCCTTAATTAATTGCTCAACAGAGCAATTTAGGAGATAATTGTGTCAATATACTGCAATGGAGTAGCTCGGTAGGGCAGTAAGTGAAGCAGCCCCTAGCCTGGTCATCTGAAGATGACATGCAGCTGTTTCTTAAAATAAGCCAACTTTGACAATATGGTTGGGCGTTTTTTTTTTTCAAGACACCCAGATCCTCGTAAAAAAAAAACCTCACATTTTTCTCAGTTTTAAAGGCACATTCCCCTCGTTTCTCATTGTGTCCCCTGGATAGTGTTTCACTGCGGATTCGGAAGAAGTCCATTGGGCTCAATTTGTCAGAGGCACCTGTAGAAATAGTTTTTGGTTAATGTGCAAAAACAACAAACTGATGTGTGTGAACACTTGAAAGAGTTTATTAGCATCAGACTACTGTCACATTTTTAAAGAGGAGACAGTTCTCTTTTTTCAACATTTAAGGGACTTAGGGTAAAGAAGAATGAACAGTATTACACCTCTTCCCAAACCATCTATACATTGTGTTGTTTCCAGCGTTTGGTTTCCAGTGTGTACTAGTTCATAGTTTAATTTTTATGTGGAAAATGTGGACATTATAAAGGCAGAGGAAGCCATCGTTTCTTGATTCTCTTTCCTTCTTCATCGCGAGTGAACCTGAAACCTTTTATTTTCAAGAATCTGCAAATATTATTACATACACTTCAAAAACATTCAGTATATACATGTTAGAATATATAGGCTTACAGATAAAAGTATCCCATCTCACTGTCTTTAATATATGCTACACTCGGTGTTAGCAAGACAAAGTGAAACATCCTTGAATGATGACTTTGCAGGTTTATAGCATTATGGTTTTCTCCGGCTATATTACTCAGCTCCTGAAGAAAAGTAACACAGTCACACACCACTTAAATAGTATGAAAAAGCAATAGGGAATCAAACAAAAGGCACACCTCCGGATTATAAAAACATACCAAAAATATTATTCAAGAGCAGAGAGATCGAATGCAATCATGTTAATGTACGGTAAGGAAATAACAGCTGGTTGCAGAAAACAGGAAAATGAATGCAATGCTCTTACACAGCACGTTAGGAGCAACAGTGTGAATAAATTTGTTTATGGCCTCAGATAAACATTTTAATTTGCTTGCTTATTCAATCAGGTGTGTATTCCAACCTGCAATTTTTCTGCAGATGAGAACCAAGCACCCAGTCCTTCAGTGCTAGTGGCCTTGATTTTTAATTCATTTAAGCTTTTTAGCATCTGGCACGCAAGATTGGTTTTGTTCCCATCTAACTCTTGTGAAATTGGCCATGTATTTGCAATTGCCCTTTTATATTACACAAAAATATCAGTCAAGGTGACACTGAATGCCAATGGTTCTGATAATAGCAATGCAGAGAGGATAATTGCTACAGTATTTATTTCCGAAGGCCAGTGACATGTCACTGACATTAAAATAAAAGAAATTACAAAAAACGGGACCATGGAACTATTCCCTGTTCCCTGTAAGTTAATGGTAAAAACAGCAGCTATATATGTGATACAAAAATCCAGGTAGCAGATGCCAATGAGAAAGACTAAAGTGATTGAGTCCCATCATCTGCCTGTCCAGACTCCTCATTTTGATATGGCAGGGCTGTGAGTGTAGTGTCAGGAAGGGCAAGTTTCTCTGGAGGATGGCATACAACATACATTTCTCGTTTTTTGCGAGAAAACAGAGATTTTTGAAAGAAGAAAAGCTGAAGACATTCGTGTCAATATTAGGATGGTGTAAGGGTCTCAACCAGGAAATACATTAGTGTGATGAAAGATAAAATCACTTCCTCTTTCCGTATGCATGATGTCTCAGACAGCTTGTAGCTTAGTCACAAACACACACTCTTCAGTACGCAGATCAGAAAGATCACCATCATGGAGCTTGATATCTTGGAGAACGTGTATCTGCTCGTCATCGTAACTCTGCTGAGTGTCCTGCAGAATGGTGAGGGGGTATTTTCATTCAGAACAACCTGCTGAAACCTGCATTCTTTGATGTTTTTTATAGCTAAATTTGAGCTAGGCAAGCTGTGTGATCATGATCACTATGTCATACTTTGAACAATCAGTTGCATTTTTCCATATTAGTCTTTCTCTTATTTACATTTCATTCTAGTCTAGCTTTTCATGAATTTTTTTAACGAGCACGCTTTTTTTTCATTGAATGTATTAAGTTATATTTGTATAATAACATTTTCTACTGTGTATTTCCCTGTGAAATCAAGTTAATTAAAACTTGATTAAATTGAGGACCAAATATTAGCTTGATTGAAATACTGTGTATGTTGATTGTAAAGTTAACTTGAGTTTGTCACGTTTTATTTCTTTAGTTGACCAAATAGTTTGTATTGCTCTGTCACATTTTGATGCCACTGACACAACCATAGAGAAAGTATTGACTTTGTCTAATAACTCTCAACACTTCTCTCAATATAATTTTAGAACTTTTCAAACTGTGTAAAAAACTAAAAGCATAGTCTTAGAAATGCATTGTTTCTTAAGCTTTTGAGTTGTGTCTGAACCAGGTGACTTAAATGAAGATTAAGACACAATTTATGATTGCTTTTTAAGTTGCATTGAGGGAAGTTTAAAACCACTCTGCTATTTTCCTTGTTTTAGCATTCTTTGCCCAGAAAGTGGAACAAGAATGTAAAACCCATAATTCAAGAAGCTTTCTGAGACCGGGAACACCTGCTTTTGAGCGTGTGTACTGCGCAAAGTAAGTACACCCATTTCTTTAAAACCAAGCAGTAATGTGTTGAAGTACAACGCCCAGTATCTCTATTAGTCAATCAGAGGATTTCTCAAATAGTTGCAAATGCCTGAATTGTAACAATATTGACAGAATCCATTTTAGCTGAAATTCTAAACTATTTTAAGTGCTAAAGACAGTCTTCACCTTGTGTGACAAATGAAAATGATGGGTTTCCAAATTGAAGGGAAGCAGACTGTTTACAGAATCCCAACAGCTTTAGATTTTCAAAGTATCTCAGGTACACATAATGTACCTACACAACAGGAGAATTTTATAACTGACACAGCAACATTTATAATTTATAACCTATTTAGGTCTTTATATATTGTCATAAGCAACATGTATGGGACTGAAATTTGCAATGTACATGTGAAGTGTTAATGTAATAATAAATGTAGTTTAAATATAAAATATTTATAATGTCTCTGCTGTCTCATGCTAAGCAGGGAAGGATCTTCTTTCGGGTCCTTATTTCCATATCTGGCATGCTAAAAACATTCAATGGTTGGCAGTGTATGTTTCTACACCAAACACAGCAGAGAAACAGGCGATCACAACTTTGCATATTATGCTGTAGTTCTTTTCCCTGTTGGGTGGCAAATTGACCAAAGAATTTACATCCCTGTCTGAAAGTCTGTCACACAAGCTGAAAGGAGAAAAAAAAAGAGTCTAGGTTTTTTTTGTGTTAGGTTCTTAGAGTACGATTAAGGCTGAATTGTGTATTTAAAGCTTTGAGGTTTCTTGTTTCTAGCCCACAGATGAAGTCAGAGATGGTTCACTTGGCTGTATGCTTCATAAACGTTCTGCTAAATGGGGGAGGATGGTTGGTGATGATGATATCATTTTCTAAACCATCACTAAAACCTACTCATTAATGTTACAAAGCTCATATTTGTCTTTCTATTTAGAATTGTTTGCCAAGTAATGACAAAAATATTAACATCACCCTCTTGATATAGGAGATATATCGAGATATGTTAGTGTTATGATAACAATTAAAACTACAGTTATATGATTGTCTGTGAGCATCTGCACATCTCCAAAAGCTTTTTATAATTTAAAAGGTAGGTAAACAGCTTAATACAGTAAATTACCATGAATCAACCCAGGATTTGGAGTGCAAAAACTGAGAACCAGTTTTTTGTTTCCAGAATTCATGGTTTTTATGCTAAGTGAATGAGTGACATATCACAATGGCATTTTTAAGTTACAATAAATACCTTTAAAAATATATTTTTAAGTTATATTTTTAAAATATATTTTTACAATATAACCCCCACTCTAAAACAAACCAATGAGTAGTAGTACTACCAGTGAATAGCAAAAGATACTTACATTTCCTAAGAACAAGACTAGGGTACATAGTTAAAGTATTGATAAAGCCCTATGCTGCATTCATATCCATATATTCACAAGATATATGGATAAACTACTCTCAAATTATGTTTCAAGCACAAAAAATCTTGGTAGATATTTAAGCAGAGTATGATACCGAAACTGTCTTTGAAGTGTTTGAAAGTTGTCATGAAGTTACATCAAACCTATTTATTTTTTCTGGCAGTAAGTCAAAATGACTACACTCTTTATTTGATGTGGTCAGTTATTTCTAAAATAATCTGAGCAGGAAGCCTAAGATAAAACTAAAAAACAAAGGTGATTTCCATTGCGTTGCAAAAGTACTCATACCCCTGCAACATTTCCTCATGCTGTTGGTGTCTGAGTTTGCAATTGTGACACTTTCAAACAGGACTTTACATTTAGAGTCTATACAATCTACTCCAGAAAGCTAAGGCTAAAAAAATCCCAGTAGTATGTAAGTTAATTATAAAGAAAATGAGAATATTCAGAGTTTATGCTACAGTAATTCTAGATCAGTTCAGATTCAACATTTTGAAAGGTAATAAAATTATTTTCATTAGGGACAGAAACACCCAAGAACTGAATGCTTTGTGAATGCTTGGAACACTTGGTGAGATAAGTATGGCTATAGGATGAGGAGGCCCGGCCCCCATTCAAATTGAGTGAAACAAGGGGCAGCTCCAAGGTGGAGATGGGGCAGAGGAAGGATGCTTGAGACAAATGCAAAGGGAGGCGTTTGAGTTCGGTATACAGTATATAGGTCATTTTGTAATGATGGTGATTAGGTACAGCTGTCTGAGATTGACTTGTCGTTGATATCCCCCCAAACGTCAGCTAATAACTTCCATGTAATGGACTCTGCAAGTAATCAACACAGTTTAACTTAATGGCAGATTAAATGCTTCTGTCCCTGTTGGTTCCCTCAAACAGATATTGAACTTCAAGTCACAATTCATATATTGACATGACATCCCAGATATTCCAGTCCCTACGCAAAGCTGACCTGGGTGTAGGAGTGCCAAGACAGAAGCCTTTATTGAGAAAGACTCATCTTAAATGTCGAAGAAGATGTCTTGCAGACAGGTGGTTTTATAGTTCAAAGAGACAAAGAGACAGAAAGAGACACAACTGAACCTTTTGGTCTAAAAGCACAACTTCAATGAAGCAGAAGCACAACACAGCACATCTCCCATCATGCCAATTGTCAGACAAGAGGCTGACATCAAGCTCTATGTTATGGGGATGCTTCTGCATGAGAAGTTGATGAGACGCTTGTCAGGTCAATCAAAAGATGGATGGAGCAAAGGGAAGCTAAAGGTGAATCCTACAGAAACACCTGCTTAAGTTACCCATTGATCTAAAACTGCATTCGTGACCTGGTGCACAAGGACAGACCCATACTGAAGTGGTCTGACAAGAAGAGAGTTAATGTTTTGGAGTGGCCCAGTCAATCAATCAGCAATCCAAATCAATGTTCACCAACCGACTCTTCAGAACTGGAGCAATTTCGCCATGAAGAATGTTAAGAATGGAAAAAACTACACTGTGCAAAAATGATAGAGAATGGAAAAAACTACACTGAGACCTACCTGCAAAAATGATAGAGACCTCCTCAAAGTTTCTCTTCTTTTTAGGTTTTACTGAAATTCAGCCTCCTCCGCATATACAGTAACACTTTTGGCAGGGGATGAATACTTTTGCAACCTGCTGAACTATATATATATAAGATTAAAAGCATTAAATGTAGCTCTAGCTAATACATATAATATATAGTATTCCCGCTCAAAAGAGAAGCTTTTTTACCACATCCTGTACATCAGTTTTGTTCTTTTTAGGACTAAAATAAGAGAACTGCGGACAAGAGTGTGAAAAGAAATGTGCTGACAAAACTCCATTTGCTCATAACATTCCTGCAGTCCACCCACCCTCAGTTACTTATGCCATCACTCTTGATAAATACAGTGTTGATCCTCGGCTTCTTTGGTAGTTAAATGACTGGTAGCCTATGCTTCTTATGATACGTTACAGCACTGCTGATATGTTGAAATCGACCTTTTAAATAGTATTTTCTTCAACAGCTGTGCACACCTTGGGTGCCTCTGGTTAGAAAAAGTTTGTTAATACTGTGATATTAAAAGAAATTTAAAAAGCAGTTTTAAAGAAGTTCATAAAGTTCTCATATTTTAGTCATTAATAATATGATAATCATTCTATTTAAATTCTATTTATACATTTGCACAAAGGATACTGATATTTATTATATGACAATTCTATTCATTAGCACCTTTTAACAAACTCAACGCCCTGTACAATAGTACACCTATAATTACAACAGAAGCAAAAAAAAAGTGTAAAAAAAACCCTCAAAGCATGCGTTTAGTGAAACCATGGTAAATCACAGAATATAAGATAAATGGATATGTCTTTAAGCAAGTTTGGAAAATGTTGAGAAGCTCTAATGAATTTTAACCATGAGTTCCACAGATGAGGTGTTGCACAAAATAAGGCTCTTCACCTATTGTGTGGACCCTGGTCTTTGTAATAATAAGACAACCTTAATCATCAGATCTCAGATTTAAAGACTACAAATAAAATAACTTGTAGATATTCCATTCAGTGCATTATATGTGAGCAGGAGAACCTTGAAGTCGACTGAATCTCACGGGGAGCCATGCAATTTACAAAAGACAAGAGTTACAGTATGTGTTGACATAAAGCACTTTTAGACATCACACAAGTTGCAGAATTCCAGACATACTGAAGCATAGAGTTTTGAAGATACCTCAGTCATGACTGGGGTAAGTAAGATATTACAGTCATATAATCTCGGTCAACTAAAAATCTTACCACACCCAAAGTCATCAACTTTGCAAAGCAGATGTTTGGTCATGGTGTCAATGGCCATTATCTAAGTTTTGAACAGTTAACCATACAAAGGTTCTCTTTTTTACTTCATATCTTGTAAGTGCAAAAACCACAGTGGTAGTATATTATTTGGCATGCAAATCATTTGCAGGGTTATCAGTATAGTAGTGAAATCCATGTGGTCCAACCATGATGGTGAATGGAAGAATGCAACATGTAAATACCAAAAAAAGTCCCAGCACATGAGCCTGTGGAACACTCTGAATAAATGTCACAACAACAGATTTTAAAAAAGCCCCAAACCTGAGTTTATAACAGATGTTCAGGAAGACAGTTAGAGGCAAATCTTGTCCACTTGCACTCTTCTACATATATATACATCTCACCTTTTGTGCATTTCTCACTCGCCCCTACCTCCACCTTATCTACACCCTTGCAGCAGCTCCCCAGCTCATTCCTCACAGAAGTAATGGGGGGGCTCTTTACAGCCTGTCCACCATTCCCTCAGCTAGGCAAATTATACCAAATAAACTCTAACACATGTATTCCTCTGTTGCATTCATTAAGATCTAACTGAACTAATTAACCTAACTGAAATTATTAACTGAATTACAAACTGATTTCTGGTAACCAAATAGGAGCCAGATCAGTGAGGGAAAGTACCCATAATCTGTAGATCATTATCCATGAGATCTAGTAGGATGTTGTGATTGTCAGTATCAAAATGCTGCACTTCAAATATATTACTGTAAGTGGCTCACAGAGAGAAGCCATTAAGAATCAAATGGACTTATTGGATTATTAAGATACTAGCAATGACCCTCTCCCTTGATTATGAACTTTGTAACTTCCATCCATGTTCACCAATTCATCCACAAGTATGTGCAGTGGCTACTGAAATATGGGAAAACCGCTAAATGTATTATTAATTGGACAGTTCAACAGGAGGGTGTTTGTATGTGACCTGTGTCAGGCACTTCTGAGAGTGTATTCTGTTTCATTCTCATTATACAAAGAGCAATGGAGGACTTACAGTATTGAAGTACTGTTCTTCATGATTTTAGGAATATGAAAACATTTCCCAATGAACTAACGTTCATTCATACTAACAGCAAATGTCATGGTTGTGTTAGTTATCCTGCTGTGGTACATTGATACAGACACTTATCATATCACCAAACCAGATTTAAAAAGAAGACTGAATCTTGTATTTACCACAAACCATTCCTTTTTCTAAATAAGTGTCTGGGGCATCTGATGGAACATACGCAACAAGGTTGTTTTAACTGTTTGAAAAAATATATGAAAAGTTATCCTTGAGCAAACCTTTGTTTTAGCTTTAGGAGGGCTGAGCACACCCTGTCTGGCATTTGTTTCTCAATGCATGCAAATCATGCATGCCTCCGTCTCAGAGGAAGTTCTGGTAGTGACATCCAGCTTGTGTAATCCTGCAAGTAAGTACATTAAATGATGAAATCCTGCCCTGCATTGCATTGATCCTTGGATTTCATCACTCTAACTGCCTTTTTTATTCATTTTGTTTGTTCTTGTAGATTTTTGAATATTCTGGTTTTAAAATAATTGGTTAAAGACAATATTAATCAGTTATCAGTTTCTCATATTTTGCAGACATTTCACAAGCCTGATTTCTGTTTCATACACAGTAATGAAAATATGAAGGCTGGATGACTAAAATTAAAGTGCATATTTTCTGCTTTGTCATTCACTCAGAGTCATGCTATGTTGTCTTTTTTGTCATATTATTATTTTTTTTAATGTGCCGCACTGATAAGCTAATACAACAAATCTTAGATCTAACATGACATCTCAAAGCTGACCTCTAAAAAGCACAGCAGGGAGTCAACTCATCTTTGCAAAAGCCCTCTGGTGAAGCAGAATTACACACTCTTGTGAGTGCAGCAATGACATTCTCCCCATGGCATAATCAGTCATTTCAATCACTTCAGAGGATGTATTTTTGCTGAAACTCTTAATTCAGTAGTTCAGTTGTCAAATTATAATAACAATAAAATGAGCTGATGCATGTGAATGGATAACATGCTAAATACATTGGCGGTAAGGAAATGACATGGCCGACGGAAGATAAGCGCTGTTACAATCCTTTCACTAACGTGGAATGCACCAGGGAGGCAGCTGCAAGGGTGAAGTTGGAGTAGAGGGAGGTGAGCTTTGAAAAGATGTTTAGAGTTGTTAGTAGCCAGCAAGTATTTATAGATTGGAGAGAGGATGTACTACATTAGAATTTGACATCCTCTCAAACTTCTGTTGAATATCAACATTTATCATGGCTAATGATTATCAAAGTGAAGATCAAAGCGAAGACACAACGGCAGGCTTTGTACAGGACACGTTCAGTATAAAATGTGCAGCTTTTGAAAAATATTACAAAATGAAATAGCAGTAAAAATGCACATGAGCTAAGCTATTCTCTGAAATCAAAACAGAAAAGTTTTAATTGCTGGCTGCTGCCTTTTTTATTTGCAATTGCTACTTAAAGATGCTATGAGTGTACGCAGGTAACACATTAAACCACATATCCTGTAGAAGGAACTTCTGGTGTACCACATCATAAACACGCAGAAAGCCTTCAAACAGTTCTATTGTGCAGAGTTTTCTTATTCAAATGGATCATGATCGTAAATACATCTATCCTGTATTCTTTTTAGCCAGAACTGCATGGATGCATACCCCACTTTCCTTGCTGTGTTGTGGTGCGCTGGGATATGCTGCAGCCAAGGTAAAATAAAGGGGAAATTTGTCTATCCTTACTCAGATCTGCAGAAGAGTCTCCTTCACACTCAGCAAATTGGAAGCCCATGCTTCACACTTCCACCTGAATCAGAAAGAGCTGTGGTGACTAGTCCCTACATTAAAAATCAAATCCCCTTTATTCATTTTAAAACACTCATTAAAAATGTCATTCTTCTGAACATTTTAGATGGGCTTAAAGAATCTGGAATTCATTAAGGTAAACAAAACTTTCCATTTCACTGATCCTTCCATCCATCCAAACTGCTTTGTCCAATGCAGGGTCGCAAGGGAACTGGAGCCTATCCTTGCAAGCAACACAAACACACACACACTCACACAACAGGGCCAGTTTTGCCAAATAAATTAGCAGTATATTTTGGACTGTGGGAGGAAACCAAGAGAACCCAACCAAACACAGCATGAACATACAAACTCCACACAGATAGCACTCCAGGTCCAAAATTGAACCCCGGGCCCCAGAGCTGTGAGTCAGCAATGTTAATAACAGTGCCCCCATGTCACCTCTAATCTAGTGATGTGAAGAAAAACAATTGATCAAATAATTTAAAAAAAACTATAATTTGATGCAGCCATTAAGCTCTTTCCACCTTTTATCAAATCCCATTGAAGAACTGGAGGGGCTGTAGGATCTAACTCGTTGTTCCTGATGTTTTGTAGCCCCTGCAGCGTTTTCTGGACTGATGTACCTGTTTGTCAGACAAAAGTACTTCGTTGGATACATGGGGGAGACGTCTCAAAGGTATTCACCTAAAATGATCTTAAACTGCATGAACCAAGAATTCAGACTCCAAGTCTTCTGAGACAGCTTTAATGCAAGCACTCCATTCTTTCTTGATCCAAGCGCACTCACATCAAATTAATTTATATGTAATCATACCATTTAGCTTATGACACCACTGAAAATAAACACCAAATTCCATCTTACACAAAACATAAATGAAGCAAGGTCTTTAGAAAATTCTTGAAAAATAAAATACATTTTAGAAAAGCATGGTGACAAACATTTCAAGGTTTGTTTTTGGCAAAATAATGTAACAGTTCTGCTTTTTGTTCATGTGAAAAGACCAAATATTTTGACCGTGTATTGAAAAGATGTGTGAGTGTTGTGCATTCTATTAATATAGAGTGAAATTATATAATGCCATCATTATGTTGGAAATATTTTTTTTCACTTAGAGTAGCTTTTAGAATTTTAGCAGTCAAGGATTTACCTGAATAGGGAAAACTCAAACTATTGATATAACTAATAGAAAGGCGGTTATTACGGATCACTTCACATACACTAAAAAAATTGTCATTACACCCTTGAAGGAGGTAATAGCTGACTCCTTGTGTGGCATTATCCAGATTTATCAAATGACCTTCAGAGTTAATTCAAATGTTAGTCAAAGGAAACAGGAAAAATACACAGGTTAATAGTAGGAAAACCAATACAACAGAACATGCGGCATGCCAATGTATGAGAAAGCAGTTATTTCATTGTGATGGTTTCTTTGTGCTACTCATAAGGAATACAAGCCACTTCCAGTGGTATGTCTGCTATTGTTCCCTTCACAGACACTGAAGATTGCAAGACCTCAGAATGATCAATTTTATTGCAGCTGGAGTTGAATAAAAATCATCCATGATTTAATAAAATGAGAAAATGCCCAAAGCATCTGTTTTGTAAAGCGAATGAAACTTGCATGAATCAGTGAAACAACAACAGTTTTCAAAATTTCTGTTGAGAGATCAGTTCAGTTTTCCTGTTTTTTTTTTTTCCTCATTTCAAAATACAACTTTCTCTGCTGTATCCAGAAAAGCAAAAAAAAAAAGAGTACTTTATCAGTGTACATTCTGCAAAATTAGCCATGCACATGGTTGTGGTCCAAAATGATAATGCATCAGAGGGAGTAACTACACATTTCCAGAGATAGCCTGGGTGTGGTCTTTTGCTTTGCTAGCAGTTTTTGGTCAAATACAATTGCATGACCGCAGCCACTGTTCATGAAAATTAGAATGGACATCCTTAATACGAAGTTCTATGCTTGGCAGACCAGCATGCTGCAGGATATTTTTTACATCGTATTTGCCCGGATGCTGATTTGGTTAGGGTTGCATGTGGTTACTATAACTGATTATATATCTTTGAAGCCTGACATCCTTATCTGTTTGTTCTGAAACGGGCTCCATCCATTTTCACACAGTGTCATCAGAAAACTGATGCTACCTCTACACAGAGGTGGAGGCATGCTCTAAAGAAATGTTAGGAAATGACATTTAATATGCACATACAGCCCATGGATAAACAACAGAGCATATAACTTTGTTAGCTGGTACGAGTAATACAAATACATTTATAAATTGTAATGGGTAGGACCACGAAATGACATTGACCAGTAAATTGCTTATAATCTGTCTAAAGAAATACAGGTACATGTATATCATTCTTGGTGTCTTATTTTCTTTATTTATATACAGTATGTTTCCTTTCATGTAGTGCCAGCAGAGTTGTACAATCTAAATGTCCCCCTGAAGGAAGAAAAGTTGCATTATTGACTGTTACATCTTCATTAATGGCTCTGCCACAATTCCACAGTGTATCTAACAAAAGCTGAAAGCTGGGGATCCTTGTAAAGGGATGGTTCATGAATGTGAGCTCTAGGCCTATGTGTAATGGTTCATAATTTCAGGAAACGAAACTAAGCAAAATCCAGACATGAAGTCTTCACAGTAAAAGCTCAGAGGTATTTAGCCTTATGAGTTTTATTTAATTCCCAATTCTTAAAGACAATGCATTACTAATCCAGTATTATTCTAGATGCTGTACTGTCACCAGGCACTGCTACATTAATGAATTCAGTTCAACAAACCTTATAAATAGGTCATGACATATACCACATCTCTGTGGTACAGTAGTACTGTTTTTGTCAGAAACACTGTCATAATCTCTAATGTTGTTTTGTATCCTTTTGCCTTGTCAGCACTCCTGGGTACTTATTTGGCAAGCGCATTATCTCCTTCCTGTTTCTAATGTCCGTGGTGGGGATCCTCAATTATTTTTTCCTTGAGTATTTTGGAAGTGACTATAAGGAATACATTCAGACAATCATGAAGGCTTCGTCGGCTTTGCTTCTCATCCCATGAAGATCTGGTTGAAAACTTGTCTGTTAATCATTCTTAAAAAGACAAAGCTTTCCCTGGGCACTCCAGGGAAAAGTCAACTCATTATCTTTCTGTCTTTCATTGCTGTCACCTTAAAAGCCTTGCAAATAATAATAAAACCTGATTTCCATTTGCTTTTCCAAAGAGTGAATATTTATTTCATTTCAAAAAAGAGGTTTAGTAGCAATCAAATGCACTTGTCAAAAATTCCCTCAACCTGATGCCTTGTATTCTCTGTAATTTGTCATTTTAAAACTAGTGTCAGACATTATTTTTAGATCCCAGACACAGCAGACACATGTATTTTGTGGTATGGGAATTGTTTAATCACAAATTAAAAAAGGTATGATTAAAAAGTAGATCATGAAAACAAAATGTAAGAAGAGAAATGACACATAAAACATGAATTTGCTGTTTTTTGTTCTCTGTTGAAAGGTGTCTGATGTGTTAAGTGGTATATTAAAAAAATATATCGTACATTCATTGTAGTTTCATAAAGTTTTAAAAACGTAATATATTAAATACAGATGGCAAACATCCTGGGATACACCACTGAACTATCCACTGTTAAAGAAGAGGAATTTTGCTCCCAACATAACGATATTTAAATTTCATCCAAAACCAGGTTTGGTGCTTATCTGGGTTTTCCTCATACAGAGTCATACAAAGCTACTTTTGGGAACACCCATTTTACATACTTTGTCTTTATCCATCGTTGTATGTTCTATTATAGACAAATACTGTATGCACATCACTAGCATAAAACTGCACATAGGTTTATATACTGTATACCGTTTTTTATAAAGTTCACTAACTGTTCTGACTGTAGGCACTTTTTTTGAAAAAAAAAAAAGAAAATGAAACAAATACTTGAGAAACCTTTGGTTTTGTTTGAAGGCATGGATTAAAAACAAAGCTAAGTAAAATGCAAAATTCAAGCTTGTGCTTCAGATATGTTTTGGCATCAAATCTTGGCAGCTTTAAACGTGAAGGGACAAAGTGTCGTTCATAAATGACTTAGCGGAAAGTAGCTTAACTTCCCCAGTAACATTTTTTGTAAGATTTTAAAGAGATCTGTTAGAAAATAATGTCTGGAAATTACCATTAAAGATAAAGTTTAAAGCATAAGATGTGAGCCTTATTTATCATTATTATTACTACACTGTGATTCATCTACAGGGTAAATCTTGCTACAGTATGATTTGTTTGCTTTTTACAATGGTTTCTATGCTCATGAAAAAAACTCAAAATGACTCAGAATGGGAATGTAAAGAATTAGCTTCCCCTGTCCATCATAATTTTAGTGATTGCACTCTAGGGCTTTATTTATAGTAATAATTATATATGCTACCAAAAAACGTAATCTTAAAGGAGTAGCCATTAGCTGCTACTGTATAGTGTCTCTCACCCCTAGTAACCTGAGTGGATTATGGAACTGCACTAGTTTTTCTAGTGTGGCAAACTAAAGTCAAATAAAAAACTATAAAAGCAGCTCCGTAAATTTTATGAAGCCATTTACTTTTTGTTTAATGCTGCTGAAATCTCTAATTTTTCTCCCCGGCTCACTATTTTCTTGGCAGCCCTAAACAGGCGATGAGAGATATGACTCATGGGTATCATGGCAGTTCGACAGTGCTCCTTTTACTGAAAAAGCAGGACCATTTGTGAAGTGACTCTGTGTTGCACAGAAAACCAGATTTTGTGCATTTGCACATGGAAAACATTGATTTGTCTGAACACACCCTGTACCCATCCTCTTTTCAAAAATAGTACGGAAGATTAAAATACATGATCTGGTCTTTTATAATGGTACACCTTTTTGGCAAAAGATGTCTAGATCCTTCATACAAGAAACATATTTGAGGTCGGATTGATTGCTGGAAACATGTCAGCCATACTGGACCAATAGTCTCCCACGATTCCAAGAAAAGGGAATTTTAATGCCTGCCCTTTTGTTGTGAGTGTTGAGTGCAGATTCCAAGGTAGCAATGAAGCAAAAAGGAGTGACATGGTACTGTACATTGTCCCTTCAAAGTTTTCTAAACTCTCCCAGGAAAATACACCATACTTTCACACACACATTAAGTGTATCTCCCTGCCACCCACATCCCTTTCCTATACCACAAATATGTAGTGGGTTGTCAAGAAAGATGTCAAGAAAAAGAAAGAGTAAGGTGACAAGTTTTCAAACTCCTTCATTAAGGTTTAAGGGTCTTAAGGATGTATCCATATGTCTTCATAAACAACAAGTTTGTGTGTACAGACTATTCTTACATTAAACTGAATGGACACAGCTAATTTATACGATTGGACACCAGAATTTCTTAAGGTGATTGTTCCACCAAACCATTAGACCTTAATGGGAGACATGAGTAATACTAAGAACTTTGTCTTTACACAGACCATTAGCAGTGTTCCGTGGGCAGTGCGACTGAGCTCATTGCGTTACATTATTTCACATATTGCCGAAGTAGCATGCATGTAGTAAATGCCACCAAAAAGAGCCACAGGCAAAGGCACACTATTATTAGTATCATTCCAGAAATACAAGGTGCTGTGAGTCACTAGAACAACATGGACCCAGTGCAATATGATCTAAGGTTTTCAGCAGGACAGGATATTTGAAAATACACACCTTCCCTTTTAGTGTTGCTGCGATACCAATAACTTCTATTGGCAAAAGTTAGTTTAGCTTTGGATTACTATTTTGATTATTTGTATACTATGGAAAACATGGAGTTTAGAAGTATATACTGACAAAAGTTGACCACTTTCGTATATATGTATTTTCATTGATCAATGAATAATAAAGACCAAAAATCCAACTCTTAAATGTCTTTTAACATAAAAACATAGAAATACTGAAAACTAAAGAAAACATTATTTAATCTTTATATCATAATTTATTAAATCTTTATACTGTAATTCACAATAAAAAGACAAGTACAAAAAAGCACTTACAATGAAAAAGTTTAAATTTCAACCTCTCTGAAGTACAAATACAGCACTGTTCAAAAAAGCAGTCTTGAATAAAGGAACAAAGTTAATCAAATAGCGCCATCTCGTGGTAACTGAAACAGACGCAGGCAAATATTTGTTAAAATAGTTACCATTGCCAAAGGTGTAGCACAGGAACCATTACTGGGCCACAATTTACATTCAATCACAAAGGTTTATTCGAGGCTTAAGATTGCAATGTTGCAATACTTGGATATATGCAGATATACTGTTTACATAGTACTAGTGCTGTCAGTAAATGCAGAACCATTTTAAAGTTTTAACTTTAAAAGAGTTTTATAATATTCTCAATAAAGTTGTTTTTTAGGTGGTTCTTTCAGTGGACTGAGGATGGACCAAACAGAAGTCTCTTCAGTTTAGATTTGAACACTATCTGGGGAAGACTGCTATACAGGAGAAAACATACTCCCACATGTAGCTCCTATCGGCATGGATGAATTAAACCAGCCCAGTCTTAGGCGATGTCAGTTGCCAGACATGCACAGAGGAGTTATAAAATCAAAGAGGCAGCCAGGGCAGTGTTGTGGGAGGGCCTGGTACACTACTGCGAATATTTAAACAAAAAGGCTTTCTGAATAATCACCAATTAAAGTGACGGCTGCAACATTTCTTGCAAGCAGAACCCTAGTGATGGAGGGTGATGAATGCCGAGTTGGAAGACCACTGCACTGGACAGGTAAGGAGGAGGGGGAAAAAACTGACAGAGAATCCCAACATTCACAAGAGGCCTTTGCAAATGTTTTGGAAGAGAAAAAAAAAGACAATGGATGAGATCTCCATGGCATGGAAACACGAGTCTGTCCAAACTCTCATCTTCTGACTGGAAACAGAGGGATCGGCTGACAGTTTCTGAGCAGGCGCCAAGAAGGCTTGGCATGTGTCTGTGAATGTGGGTTGACACCCAGCCTGAAAAGGCCTAATTGACAGGCTGCTCGAAAAGTAAGTGAAAAACTGTTTATTGCTTTTTCTGCACATCCGGGTCTAAGGAAACAGAAAGAAAACCCTCTTCTGCCGTCTTCTCCTGTTTGTCCTTACTGGTGACGTGAGAAAGCTAAGGAAAGATAAAAAAGTATGACGCATTAGATTTAGACAAAAACTGGACAAAGGATGACTGAAAAGTTCAAATACTATCATCACCTCCAAATGAAATACTAATTCGCAAAAGTCTAGATTCTCCTAAGATGGAGGTATTTATTTAGGGGAAAAACAGAAACTTGTAAATTATGGTTGGGCATTTTAAAGCTTGTATTTCATTTAAGGACACAGATTAATTTTAGAAGCAATTCAACAGTTTGAAAGAACAAACTGGGAAGGTGAAGAATCCGGCACCTGGCCAACAAGGAAACCAAGAAAACGTTTAGAAAGCGGAAAATAAATTACCTCTCCTTCTAGCGTGAACTTCCGCTTGCTTAAGCCAAGCCAAAATGGGAAGTCAAAGAGGGCATCGGAGTGGTACCTCAGTGTGATATTGGTATGCTGCCAGAGGGGTTTCACTCTCCTGCCCTCAAGAGGGATTTCAAACCCCCTCTTATCCGCCCAGCTCTGTAGCGCGTCTTCCACATCCATCTGAAATACCAGCCATTGGTTAGAGTTGAGTTGCCACACAGCCCACTTGCCCAGGTGAAAGGTCATTAAAGAAAGAAGGTGTATCAGGCATAGTTACTAACAGCCTACCCATGTGTTTCATTATAATCTACAAAGATTACCCAGTTAAAATGTCTGAGCAACACCACTTGTTGGCTTCTCATTTACTTTATAATCTGAGGTAGAAAAGTACAGTCAATGATGATTTAGTGATTGATCAAATATTTGTTTTCCTCTCTCTGCATGTATCTATTGGAAGAAATGATAAAGTAATTACAAGAATGTGAAGTGGTAAAGATCTTACTTGCACTGCATAGCTTTCTCCGGCCACTGATGAAATAGCCTGGTCTAGGCCTCTCTCAATCTCCCACTTAACCACAGGGTTTCTGCCATTAATGACCACAATGAATTGTTGTAGCACTGCAGTCAGAAACACGACAATTAAAACAAGTTTTGTCTGCATCACACCCTACACCAAAGGAAATAAATGATTTCATGAAATAGACGACGCAGAATATTAATTAAAGCTCTACAAAATTATGCATTTTCTCCTCTACTTGTTTTCTCTTGTTTAAATTCCATATCCACCCTCGACACAGGCAACTGTGTTGTATCCCTGACTCATTCCTTCATACTTGTTTGCCAAACGATTCGTTAGAAAGTATGGTTCATCGAGGCAACAAAAACACTTAAGTTGTCCAAAAAAATCACAAACAACATCAAGTAAGCGCAAGAACGCAGATCGAGCCACCACACACTAAAAGTAATCTCACGTCAGTTTCAAGGGAAATTAATAAATTATATAATCAAATATAATAAATATTTTTATTCGCAAAGAGTGCAGAGCTACACCTTATTTTGAGACGCAGTTCGAGAATTATTCTAGTTGCATTTAAAATGAACACGAATATAATGTCTGCGAACTATTATCACTGAAAATTAACATTGCCAGGACTTGACATTTCCGTAAGTCCTGGATTCCTCCTTTTCGGGTAAAAGGACAGGTTCAACCAGCAACCGCAGGTAAACCGGAAAACCAGCTTCAGGCCTACGTCACACTTAAAGACGTATCATTTAAAATATTCATCTTTTACACCTGTACTGTTGTTTTCATACCTCTATGATTTAAAACCTATTATTTATAAAAGTTTCGCTATTTTTCCGATCACAGTTCTACTAAGCAATATATTTCACTAATGCCACAGATATAATACAGCAGGAAAGATCTGTTCAGCCCCCTTTGGAAAGATAAATCTTAAACAGCAGACTAGTTAATCAAATACCTTCAGCCGCTTTCTCGCTTTTCGTCTTCAGCGCTGGATTGAGCTCGCAAACCGAAACCAGGATAAAAATTAACTGTGACGTAAGCCTTTTCCTCAGGTCCGTATAATCTTTTAACGAATGCACTGTGATTATCCTGGGGGAGTAAGAAGAAAATATTGCTAGATATAGCAACATGTACATTATATTTCATGTAGGCGTACATTACATTCTGGTACCCAAAGACTGATTTGTATAGTCTACAATATTCTACAAAAATATTTTTGTCAAACGGTTCGGTACGTACCTTCCTGGAGAATGCTGAAAGAGGACTTTCCCTTTTGCAGAGTTGCACTCATCTATAAACACGCAGAAGCTTCCCGGATCGTATCTTACAAACCTGTATCCCGAACCTCGGACTTCTACCTTAAAGCCAGACGGCGGCTCCCGTAAAAACTCTTCTAACTCAATAAGTTCCATGTAGAATCCCGAGTTGGCATTAATATGCATTTTGTTCATAGCTCTTTCCCAAGTGAGACGTCTCCCACGCTCCCACCACTTGCTAAGTTTTGCACTAAGTGTTCTTTCCCTCCGGGGTGTGAGTATGTATGAGTGTGACGATGCGTTTATGATGACATATTTCGTAGGCATCTGTCTGCTGCGGTGATTGTCACGTACAGGACTGGATAAAATGTTTCTTACGATGATTGTATTTATATTTGGAACATTGTTTTCTAACGTGGCTAAATATGATAATCCCAAGATTTAATTGGAAATTAGGTCAAATTGTGAGTTACATTACTAACAAGTTGATTAGGCATTATCCAATCTATTATCAGAAATTAGATTATTCCTAGTGAAAGTCACGGTGTCTGTCCCTGAAGCATACTACACCCTACATTGTTGTGCACACATAGTTAACAGACACCCTCAAACCTAGACTGAATGACTTTTGGAGGTGAGAGGAACCGGAGCATCTGGCAAAAATATAGGTGGGCACCATGCAAACTCCACACAGAAGCCCCCTCACCACAATATAATATAGGACCCAATAGATTGTGTAGATGCGCTAAGCAACTACATATTGGCAAGAGGCTAATGTATACATTACCAGTCATAAATCCTGACTTTTAAAGTACGCTGCAGTTTTTCATTATTTGGTTGACATGTACAGTGGTGTGAAAAAGTGTTTGCCCCCATCCTGATTTCTTATTTTTTTTTGCATGTTTGTCACACTGAAATGTTTCAGATCATCAAACAAATTGAATTAGACAAAGATACAAGTAAGCACAAAATGCAGTTTTTAAATGAAGGTTTTAATTATTCAGGAAAAAAAAATCCAAACCTACATGGCCCTGTGTGAAAAAGTGATTGCCCCCTAAACCTAATAACTGGTTGGACCACCCTTAGCAGCAACAACTGCAATCAAGCGTTTGCAATAACTGGCAATGAGTCTTTTACAGCGCTGTGGAGGAATTTTGGCCCACTCATCTTTGCAGAATTGTTGTAATCCAGCCACATTAGAGGGTTTTCAAGCCTTAACTGCTTTTTTAAGGTCATGCTACAACATCTCAAATCGGATTCAGGTCAGGACTTTGACTAGGCCACTCCAAAGTCTTCATTTTGTTTTTCTTAAGCCATTCAGAGGTGGACTTGCTGGTGTGTTTTGGATCATTGTCCTGCATCAGAACCCAAGTGCACTTCAGCTTGAGGTCACGAACAGATGGCCAGACATACTCCTTCAGGATTTTTTGGTGGACAGCAGAATTCATGGTTCCATTTACCACAGCAAGTCTTCCAGGTCCTGAAGCAGCAAAACAGCCTCAGAACATTACACTACCACCACCATATTTTACTGTTGGTATGATGTTCCTTTTCTGAAATGCCGTGTTACTTTTACACCAGATGTAATGGGACACACACCTTCCAAAAAGGTTCAACTTTTGTCTTATCAGTCCACAGAGTATTTTCCCCCAAAGTCTTGGGGATCATCAAGATGTTTTCTGGCAAAACTGAGATGAGCCTTTATGTTTTTTTTGCTCAGCAGTGGTTTTCATCTTGGAACTCTGCCATGCAGGCCATTTTTGCCCAGTCTCTTTCTTATAGTGGAGTCATGAACACTGAAGTGAACAAGTGCAGCCTGCAGTTCTTTGGATGGTTGTTGTGAGGTTTTTTGTGACCTCTTGGATGAGTCGTCAGTGCGCTCTTGGGGTAATTTTGGTCGACCGGCCGCTCCTGGGAAGGTTCACCACTGCTCCATGTTTTTGCCATTTGTGGATAATGGCTCTCACTGTGGAGTCCCAAAGCTTTAGAAATGGCTTTATAACCTTTTCTAGACTGATAAATCTCAATTACTCTGTTTCTTATTTGTTTCTGAATTTCTTTGGATCACAGCATGATGTCTAGCTTTTGGGGATCTTTTGGTCTACTTCACATTGTCAGGCAGGTCCTATTTAAGTGATTTCTTGATTGAGAACAGGTGTGGCAGTAATCAGGCCTGGGTGTGGCTAGAGAAATTGAACTCAGCTTTCCAAAGATGTGATAAACCACAGTTGATTTATGTTTTAAGGAGGGGGCAATCACTTTTTCACACAGGGTCATGTAGGTTTGGATTTTTGTTTTCCCTTAATAATAAAAACCTTCATTTAAAAACTGCATTTTGTGTTTCCTTGTGTTATCTTTGTCTAATATTTCAATTTGTTTGATGATCTGAAACATTTTAGTGTGACAAACATGCAAAAAAATAAGAAATCAGGAAGGGGGCAAACACTTTTTCACACCACTGTAGATATACCTTAAGAAAGGACAACAGCGCTTTTCAATAGTGTCCACTCTAAACTGATTGAAATAAAACATCTGTTTCTGGGTGGAAAGATTTTGGAGGAGTGATTCATAACTGAACACAATCAGTTTGTTTTAATTAACGTTTTAATGTAAAAACTCTTACACACTACAGTATGTCATGATCTATTTTCAGGATTCAGTAATAGATATCCCCCACAAAAACAATGATAGAAACGTTATTGGTATTACTTTTTCAAGGTTATTTATACTTTCAAAAATGTATTTTACTGTAGAAATCTTATGCAATTATATTTAGACTATTCGTGCGGAGGTTTTACCCCTGTTGACAATGTTATAGCTTTAATTGTGTTAATTGCGGTAACCTAAAGCGCACGTATATCAATGCTAAATTCTCTCCGGGTCAGCCTCAGTTCAGTCCCAGGCAGTAAACGAATTCAGTGTAATGAAGATTCCGCTTTTCAGTCTAATTAAATGAAATCCCTTTTTATTAGCTCTTGTACGCCTACACGATCACTTCAGCCAGCGGACTTTCTCATGTCTCCTCATTACCCTGGCTCCTAGCAACCGCTTCGGGACTCCGGACAACAAGATCCTGCCTTCAGAGCTCTTTTAGTAGCGGCTTAAACTCTCAAAAACTGTTCTCGTTTACATCTCGGACATTTTGAGAAGAATGGAGGGTTTGAGCCGAGTGTCCCGTGTCCCCGCTGCAACCCAGGTGAGGTCACAATGCACACATGAACCGTGTCATAATCACGGAGGCTGATGAGCCGAAATGAACCCAGTAAGTTTAAACTGCATTCTCTCGCCTGCAGCTGGACGATGACATCTTGAAACCCGCATTTCGCGAGCAACTCTGTTACATGAAACAGGGGTGTGATTCGGAAACAGACAGAGAGAAATGCGACTTCTTGGCCGCTTCGTTGATCCTTTCCGAAGACATTAACAAACAGAAAACAGAGCTTATTGAAACCCCGGCGCGTAGAGCTAAAACTGCAATGGCAGCAATAGGTAGGCGAAATTTGATTGTAACGACTTAGTATTAGAGCTGTCACTCACCTTTTCTTTTTAAACTTTTGCGCATTTACGCATCTAAAACTGGCTTTTAATGCATATAAAACTGTAATGTTAACAAATATATTAGGCGTTCATTTATAAGAGCGCTTATTCCTAGAATTGTGACAATTGTACCTTTGTACTGTTTTTTAAAGCATGGTTTCTGTTATAAGTCTTTATAAAAGTAAGAAGAACTACAATGCTAATAAAAGTAAATAACAATAGTAACAGTCATACATGTTATTATGTACAGGTTTTAAGAAGAATTGGGATCCTTATGAGACATCACACAAACGCGAGTTTGTTCACAGACCTAATTCATCGACTCAGGCCTACCGGTGAGCTGGAGATGTCGTTGACACCGTGTTCCAGAAAACCTCTATGATCAAAAAGAAACCTTTTATTTAAATCCGTATGAATGACTTATGTTAAGTGATCCAATAATGTATGTGCCATTCTTCCTGTGTATGTTCAAGTGCAGTATTAGACATGATGTGGCTTGCCTTATTTGATTAAATAAATGCTAGGTAGAATAAGAAATAGTCCTTAGTGTGACACATCTTGTTTTTCTTAAATTCACAGTCCCAAGTCTTCAAAAGCTTATAGTTTCTCCTATGAGTTGGGGGATCCAGTTGGTGCAAGCCTGTACAGCCAGCAGTTCTGCTGGAAACCCTTTTCGAAACCAGATCACATACGCAGTGGCTCTGCTTCAGGAAACAGAAGGAACAACCCTCACCCCAGTGAGGTAAAATCATACAGGAGTGCCATCACCAACGAAGCTCCTTAATTGCTGGGTACTTTACACCAGGGGTTTCCAGTTCTGGTCCTGAAGGCCCCAAACACCATCTGGCCGAGCTTCATTACCTAATCGAAGATTTAATTGAACTAAGAAGTTGCTTGAATGGAATATTAGAATTTTTTTTACTGCCGTGTCAGGGATTGTGTTTTACTTATCAAATGCAATACACTTCCCACTTAATTAAGAGTGGAAACTCAGACTCTTGGGTCAGTTAAGGGTTTAGTTGTGTAACTGAGAGTGGGACTGGAACAGAATTCAGCAGGTTTGTCCTATAGGTCCAGGACTGGGAACCTCTGTTCTGTTTGTCCTGGGATCAGAATTCTATGCTGTTGCCCTGGTGATGGGTGAAGGAGGAAAACAACCAAACTGAACACACATAATAACATTAAATTTATTTCATTTTCAACCCAGCTTCAGGTCTGTGTCTTGAGATGGTATTTTGAGTGGCATTATCGATAGGGTGATGAGCCGTGACAAAGCTAAGCATCTTTGTGAGCCATTTTAGTCTCATTTTAGATTCTGCGTGCATGATGGGGAAACCCGCGTATATTTTGTCCCAGATCCGCTACATAAATGCTTTTCAATTTGGAGTCAGATGTGCTAATTCACTTTGTTTCTTTTCAAGTCCTTTCTAATATGGCAGTTGCCCAGAAAAGAGAAGCAGATTTCAGAGGACAGCAGGTCGCCTTGGAAAAATCTGCCATCTGAAGAGGAAATCAGAAGAGCCTTGACAGCACAGTATTGCTCAACCTATAAAGCAGATTACTTGGGTATACCTCAAGGTACAGAGCTTGAAGTCTACATGCTGAATGTGGGAGGAGAAGCAGACAGATTACTTCACCCAGTCTGCTAGAGTTAAAATGATGCCCATTGTCCTTTCATTGCATATATTTGTATATATACTAATCTTGCAATAATTGGTCTTTTAGTTGACAAGTTTAAAAGGGTTCTGGATACCTTTGGCTGAACTGACATCCCTGGGTTAAGAAAAACTTCTCTGAACTACAGTATATAACAAGGCATGTGCTGTCAGTAAAATCTAAACATACAATGCCCGACCATGTCAGATGAGTAAAAAAAAAACAATATAGTAAAAAGGGAGTCAAATGAAATACGGACAAGCCTTAATAATGTTTTCTTTCTAGTGTTTATCATCCCCCTCCATCTATCCAAATGGAAATCGGGAATCTCTGCTTTTTGTTTGTCAAAGTTCAAATGGGTAGTGGCATCAGCATGTATAGACTACAGAGGAACAGGTAAAGGTTTATTCCATGTAGAAAGGAAAAGAAAAGAGACACAATGTTTGGGCTGTGGAGCCTTCTTCAGGTGTGTGAATCCTTCTTCAGGATTTGACACTCCTGAAGAAGGCTTCACAGCCGAAACATTGTGACTCTTTTCTTTTGGTTTCTGCATGGAGTAAACCTTTACCCATTGCTCTTGTATTTGTCTGTCACTTTTGTCTCCTCTGATTTACATTTGTACTGCTGGGGAGTGCAAGAATACAACACCTGTTCCCCACTCAGGATTGAGGCACACAGTCTTTCAATATGAAATCCAGAGCACCTGGACTCTACCACTCCTTACTGCTTCTCTGCTCTAATTGTTTCCCTTTCCCTGAGCAGGATTTCATAACTTGGGAGCAGGATGTTCCGAGTACAGTCAGTACCGATGCTTTCTGATGTTCTTTTAAATCAATCACAGCAGGCCTTAGGGCTTCACCATTGTTTGGTTATACTGCGCTAATACATTTATGCCAGTTATTGTGTAATCATTGTGTGTGGCACAAACATTGAAGTGTTGTACTCTCTCGGTCCCCATTTTGAAGACAATTTTTCCAAAAGTCTTAGGTATTGTTTTAACATCAAGAAATGGCAAACAAATTTCATCTTCTTCCCAGGTCAGCTTGCGAGAAGAAAAGCAAGGAATATATCACGATCCACAAGAGTGCCTGCAAACCCTCCAGCTTAAAGGGGAACTGCAGTCCCACTTTCTCAGACTGGTTATTAAATCTCTGTAACAGAATAAATTCATTGACAATATAAAAAAACTTGACAAATTGTGAATTAAGCACAAAGTTGTGAACTTTGTAAAAGTACAGTGGGTCGCCCTGTTGTCCCACAAATTTTGATGTGATGCGGCCCTTCCTGCTCGCTGTAATAACAAATGTAATGCAATGCCCAAGCTAATTAAGTTCAGGTTGTGCTGCAGAGCTTTTACTGCAGAAAGTTTCCAACATGATCTGCATGCAGAGTTAACAAGTAATTTATTTGCCAATTTATTGGCAAAACCATCTTGAAGTTGAGAACAATATTTCTTTTGGATTAAAAGAGATGTATTCACAAGCCTGCTTGTTTACAATTTAATAGGGCCACTTCATGTCACTAGAAGCCTCGTTCTGAATCGCAGAATATGGTGCTGCACATATCTGGAAGTTTTGTCTATTTTGTGATGTACTAAAAATTGGAAGTTTTATAAGTTACCATTACATTTTACTTTTGTTGTGGTTTGAAATCGGCTTATCAATGCTGATTCTTTCTAACCCTGAAAATTAAACATAGCATTGCAGTTCCCCTTTAAATTTTGTTTATTTCTGCTTTGTGCGCCGCAGGCTTTCAGGTGAAGCATGCCATTCCAGCTCCACCGAACTGGAAAAAAGATATCCCGCATTCGCATCTGACCAACACGAGGTATCACTACCAACAACCCAAACAGACCCCTGAGCTTCTGAACACTACAACTCGCTATGGGTGCAACACACATCACCATTTGGCTCCCAAAGGAGTGGGTAAGACACCTTTGCATTAGACACACTGCTGTGATACATAGCCCCTTGATGAGAAAAATTAGAATAGTGAGCTGTTCAGCTTGGTGCCTCACAAGATGTACTGAAGATGTTGTAAGATAGCTGTCAGCCTCCAGCAATGGAATAGATTTTTTCCCCCCTGTTGTAAGTAATGTGGTACACTTTCATTTTTCAGTGACACTGTCAGCAGGACTGTGTATTTCAGGCAAGTTCAAGCTTTCAAGCCTCTCTATTCTTGTATTAGAAGTTGAGCCAAAGTGTAGGGCCTCCCAAGTGGCACATTCAGGGAAGGCGCTCGCCTGAGAGCACTCTAAGCTCTGCGATTGGAGATTCGTGACTGTGTCATATCCCTAGTGGGGTGTGATGGGGCTTCCCCCACAGCGGCAGTGCATGACTGGCTGAGCACTGCTGAGAGAGGGAGGGAATTGGTTGGTAAGGGAGCTCTTAGTTCTTGACAACACAGTGACCTCTTCAGCTTCCCAGCTGTTTGCAGGCATGTGGTGCTGTCAGTGAGAGTTGTACCTCACCTCCGATTACCACTGAACCTCTGGTCTGTGTCTGCGTTATCTGTAGCGTGCTGAAAGTCTGGTGTGTAACTTCTGCATTCTCCTCTGTGCTGTCACGTTTGTAGCTGAGAAGTGAGTCATGAAAAACACTCAAAGCAGCTAGGTATAAAAACATACCTGGTGATTTTAAAGTTTTAAAACATGTTTAACCCAAGTAAGCACTGGCTGTGGAAACATGGTGATGCACAGTCTAATAATAACGTTCGCTCCTGTTGTTTCATGTTTCAGTGCCGTCTGTGACCTATGCCCACATCAGGAACCAGGAGAACAGGAAGCAGCCGACCACATATGAAAGGCATTTTGGGGACGGAAGGACAGACATTTCAACTGTGCTTCGATCTCTGAAGCCTCAAGAGATTCAGCATTTCCTTCAGAGTGTTCCTGATAAAGGTACAAAATTAAGGACTGCAGCAAACTATTCTTTTTCTTCTCACGCTGCTATGCAGCCAGTTCTTTATCCTCTCATTTTCCCTTGTCGCATCCTGTTGCTCTGAAATGCTGCTGATAAAGGCTCAAAATGCTCAGGAAATAATACTTTTATTTCCTCTGAAATAAGTCTTGCAAAGTGCAAAGTCATATAGTCTTAAGTAGTTCAGCCTAGGCAGCATGCGTAGGCTGCAAAAGAACAAGTAAAGGTTTATTCCATGCTGAAAAGAGAAGAAAGGACACAACATTTTGGATGTGGAGCCTTCTTTGGGTGTAAGTCTTATCAACATTATATAGCCTTGCCAACATTTGGCAACTAAATGCAGTTTAATTACAAAGTTGAAGACTTTTTTTTTTTTTTTAAGTGAGAAATCATCTCGGGAAGTTCAAAAATGTATTGCTGACAAACCTCAAAAAGAAATATGTAATTTAATGTATTTCTGATTTTGTAGCCGATCACAGTTATATTCTGCTTTCCCTAACATGCTTATAGATTTGTGCCTCACTTTAGACTTGATTTATTTGTCTTAGTTATAGCATGCTTCCTTGTGTGGATATTTCAGTGTATTCAAGTTGTGAGTTCCCACTGAAATTTCTTTTGAGACTGCCAGTAAATTCTACAGGTAAAGTACTTTGTGGTAATTTCACAATTATATTAATATTGCATATGTACGCTAATATGTAGATGATAACTAAATACCCAGACAACATGCCCACTTCCATCACAAAGTCCTGATAGCCAGTCCAGGTAAAAGGAAGGATAAAGGCTCATTTAGGTATTGCACTTATGGTATCCTATTTCTCTGCCTACCTCACTTTATGCTCCATGTTAATACTATAATTCAGCCAGGCAACTTGTGACACTTCCTTAATTCTCTGCAATTTTCTCTGCAGACAAGGAAGTCATGAAAATATTTCTGAGAACATTCACACTTCCCAGTCAAGGTGCAAGAGCAAAGAATCCCTTTGGAATACTTTCAACCTCAAAACAAACCTGAATGTCAGTACCGCCCAGACCTCTACAAACTGTCAACAACATCTTGTTATTGGAACTATTATGTGAATAAAGGATCACCAATGTCTGCAGGCTTGCAAACCTGTTTGCTAAAAAACAGTAAAATCCAAACATGACTTTTAATTGCATCATTTTGTTTTGTGTGTATGTACAGTAAATTGTTGAAGTACCGCTGTATGATTCTGAGTGTTGATGAGATTTGTTTTTCCAGAATACATCAAAATTAGATGTGCAGGTTGCTTTTTATGGGTGTGGAGACTTAATCACAATAACTAGAGCTAGGAAATCAAAACTATACTATACATACATGACAGATTACAACGATAAAAATAAGAAAAGAGAACACCCTTTCAATGATGTACAAGCCAAAGTATTTTTTTTTCTTTTCTTTTATTGGATTTCGTGCACATTGCAACACAAAATATTAAATCCCTTCATGTAATGTTCAGGGTCCGTGTGCAGTCGTGACAAAATAAATGTCACAAGACAAATAGTGTCCCAGTTCTTTTTTCTGAATCCCTTGTTGGGTCAAAAAAAAAACTTCCAGGCAACTCTTTTAAACCAAGGTGAAGTGTTTGGCAAACATACTCCCGTGTAGGTGACACATTTGCATTGCGCAATTCACCTTGTTTAACTTTCTGTAGAACTGGAATGAACTTGCATTTTTCGATTTTACAGGCTGTATGCTGTAGCTTTTGCCAACACTGGGTACTGGATATTTTGAACTTATTCTGTTTCATAAGTACAGTTGGTACTATACATGGCAGCTTCTAAAGCATTTAAAACATACACCTGCCATGCACTAATAATCTTATTGGTTTTCCTGCTTAGATTGAGGTTTAGCATCCCTAACATTTATTGAAGATCTTTTGGGTAAAGAAAGCTTACCCAAAAGGGGTAACTTTATACCAATGAAGTTTAAAATTTTAACTGCTCACTACAATTTAACTGAGATAAAATGAATACATGACACTGAATAGAACTGTCACTTCCTTCTGAGTATGTGTACGATGAAAATAGGCAATTAGGTAATTAAATCATTCAGTTAAGTAATTTATGGGACAGTGGAAAATGATCACTGATAACAGAGTACTGACAGGCTGTGCACGGAAAAGAGCTGGCATGATGAGATTTCGACATACTTCTGTGATATTTGCCATGGTTTGTGCTTTTCGTGTGGTTGGGCAGTGTACCAGTGCTTTGCTTTCAGTGATCAGGATATTTCTGGGCTTTGCATACTTAAGCTATGCGTTGATAGGTCTCCTATAAAGCACACCAATCATGCTTTATGAATGTTTGAAACTAAGCCCAATAAAGTTCTCTTCAGTTGGCACATCATTCTTCATTTGCAGTAATTTTTATTTAACCAGTAACTCTGACCCAAGGAAGGTAAATCTAGTGGATCAAATTAAGAGTGGCAACACAGAAGTAACCCTAACCCCATGCCAGTGTGTCTGACCTTTGGAAAAAGAGATCAAATTCTATACTGTAAAATAAATATCCTGTATCTTTCTCATTTCATTCTAGTTCTTTTGTAGTGCTCAGCTTTTGGATAGAAGTCAAGACTAGTATTTCTCCTGGGGCATGTATGCAGTTAGTGTATATATAACTATTTAATATTATAGAGGTGTTGTGTGTATTCAGCTATTATGAATACATATGGCATTGAAAACATGTATTAATATCAATTAATTCTGCCAGGACTTGCAAACTTGTGACACTTCTTGTGTTCTTAGAGTAAAACTTGTGTTCTTAGAGTAAATGCTGCATTGTACAATATTTACTGGAGTTACAAAACTGGGACTTTAGCTATTTTCACACTTTATATGATTTTTCAATTAAATGTGATACATTCATTAAAATATATCTTAAAACTGCTCGCTATTACAAGCACATTGTTTTTGTTTTTTAATCACTTTAAAAGTTTTTCTCACTCCAATAAAATGTACTAATATACATTTTGACATAATTTCTTCCTCTTTTGTATTACATTTTGTTATTTAATACAATTTTAAATCCATAGAGAGGATATTGATTGTATTTTTACCTCCTAGTGATTTAATACAATAAGGGATTAAGTAATTCAAGTAACACAGCATGTGTGTTTCTGATAGAGTTGTGAATTACACTGCAGTGTTGCCCGGCCTTTTCAGATGTAACATTAGAGTAAGTAAATTGGTAATTTGAGAGTAACAGTAAAGCAAACACTGTCTGCTGGAGGCATTTGCTAAACTGTAGTAGGGACAGCCCAGCTTGAATCAGCCACTGTTCTGTGCAACCTGTATCACAATGAGTTTCTGACTGCACTGGTGTTTCTGTACTGAGAAAAACAGGCAGACTTCAAAGTAGAAAGACAAAAAATTACTTAAAAAACATTTTTAAAGCAAGAAGTTTTTCTACTATGCCCCTGGGGAAGAAATTTCGTCCCAGCTCTGCTACTGGGAAGTTGGAAACCTACCACATTACCAGGTACCGTTTTGGATAAAATCACTATTTTTTATTTTAGTTTGAAATTCAATCTTAGTGCTCTACTGTAGAGAAGTGCAGCTTCGTTGTGTCTGAAACAAAAATAGTTTTACTCTGAGTAATTAATTTAAGAAAATAATATTTTTGCTTGAACATAGCTCCAGGGATATTTACATAATGCTCAGAAACTAATATTATGTTTCTTATTCAACTTTAAGGTTGAAAAAATAAGGAATATCTTTCATTTTTTAAATGTTTTTGGTTGTTGCTTGGTTGTAAGAGGTTCACTGCATGAAAAAAAATCATTGTTGTCCAGAGACTGTTTACTGTTGTCAGGGGACTGAATGGGTACGTATGAGAAGATAAATTAGGCATTGCTCTGTGTATATTTTACTTGAAGGCTAATTAATCTGAGCTAAGTAAAACAACTGTGCACACAACATTAGGAAGCATTAATTAAGGCTACTTCCCTTCAGCTAACAGGATTTAATTAAGGCACTAAAACACAATGTGCTAATGCAGACCTAAAATTATGTAATAAAACAGGCAACATCTAGTACACTTGTCACAGCTTATTCAATGTATTTACTGTTGGTGAAATTGCACATTGTTTAGATAGTGGACCCTAACTAATACCAAAATACTGAAAGATATTATACTTGAATACAAAATGCATGCTATATTTCTTTGATCAGTGGTGTTCAGTATATTTCTACAAAAAAAATAAAAATATTACACATGCCAATAGGTCACTCTTCCGTATACTGTATGTATGTGTAACAAAAAAAAACATGAAAGTGAATTTTCCCTCAAAACATTCTAGAAAAATTCTAGAGCTCTGTGAAGTATTGAAATGTTATTCTGCGTGTAACCCCACTTAATTAAAACTGTTAAATTTTTAAAATCTAAGATTTAATCATAAACTAATCTGAATTGAATTACAAATAAGACACATTTAGGCAATAATATAAATATCAGTATGGTGTGATTTATTCTTATTTGAGCTGAATGCATTTCCAATAAAATTATTTAATACAAAAAAATATGAAGTGTACCTTTCAAGTTCTGAAGCCTTTTTCATGCCTCAACTCTGACTTCAATTCCAAACAATTCCAAACTTTAAGAGCAATTTGCTCCATATTCTCGTCTGCAGGTTTGTGATTCAAATGGCAATGAGATATTTAAGACCCTGACACTATCAGATATTACTTTACCATTTAGAGGAAGGCCCTTGCTGATTCAGCAGCATAAATAAAACATAAAATAGTAAGTTTGTAGTTTTATATAGCATTGATTTCTTACAGTTAACATTTCAGATGCACAAGTGAATTCATGAGTGAAATTGAACTACTGTATATAATGTACAAATGATTTTAGACACCGCCAACTAAAACTACTTAGCTCAAAAGCTGAAAACTCCTCAATTAAAACATGACACACTTGACACAAACTCAGACACAGTCTTTGGTAGCCGCAAATTAGGTTATCTATCCGTATATCTTTTAATTTATTTATTAGAAAGTGGAGTATTAGGCCGTGTTTCTTGTTTTAGTTTTTTCTGGTCAACACAGCTCTATGGTTTCTTCAGTATTTTGAGTGAACTGAGGCCTGCCACTGCCAAAGCATGCCCGCCTCGTGCGAAGACGTCAGTGCCTGGCACGAGGCATAAGCAGGAGCATTCCCAGGATGAATCCCAGAGGAGTGAGAGCCCCCCTGAGTGGCTGGAGAGGGAACTAATGAAAGAGGGATACCGACGCCATTCCATCAGCTTGGCCCACAGTACAGAAACAAATGAGAAGGCCCTTCACACCAGGGACCCAACCAGGAATCTCAGGAAGCTGAAGGTGACCTTTCTTTTTGTCTTTTCTTTACTCTCTACAACTCAGCCTCGTGTAATATCAGTGTCAGACTTAGGTCTATCTTGTCCACAAATCACTTATCCATCTTAATTTCTATTGCCATATCAAATAAGTCACTTCAAAATTCCCTAATAACCAAAGAAGAGTTGATAACTCTAGGAGGATCCAAGCACTTACAGATTTGTAGTTCATGAAAAAATATTCTGTATTTTGTTGTTTCCAAAAACATAAGGCCACCCGTAACTTTCAAAATGAAACACTGTATTCAGTAAATCTATAAAGGGACTGCTTTAAGTAAAGAGACTGTTGGTACTGTGGTGATGATGTTTTGTTGAATTTCCAATGTTTTAGAAGGGTGAACCCAAGGCACTAAGGATACCCTCTAGGACAAGATACACATAGATGAATAAAGAGTAGAGAGGACAAAAAATGGGCTTTTTTTGTAGTTTGAACTATTCATTGAATCAAGTTTTATCTGTCACCATAGATCGTAGATGTTACACAAATACACACATAAAAGTATTTATAAAAACAAAATTCAGGTTACAGTTACTGTCACTGAAATTCCTACCATATCATGGAGTAACATGTAGAATTTAATTATCAAAGGTGACATAAATACAAAGCACATTCAAATAGTCACATTAAAAGAGATGAATATCACCATCAATACTTCACACATACCTTTATTCCGGAAAACAGAAAATATTATCCAAAGAGTGAATTAGAACTTACTAGCATGTGATCTCTCCAGTTTATGGATGTGGTATAAATTGTGGGATTTGTGGGTTTATGGACAAAAGCTAAAAAATAAAAACAAAAACATAGTGTCAACTGCTTCGCTCTCCATCTTAAGTACACCTCATAGTCAAAATCAAATGGCTTTTGAAGAAATAAACTTCTCTGAAAAGAGCACTCCTGCAGCATCTCAAGGTGTACAAAAACATTGCAAGTGTCACAATCTGGAGGATTACAACAGGCTGTTGAAGATAACTCCGTTTTTCAATCTCCTCCTGCGTCCATATATTTCCTGGGACCTTTCCAGTGCCTTCTATCTTGAAGGTGTCTGCTTTGATAATGAAAGCATAGATGTCAAGAGCAAAGTGAAGAGGCTTCTTCAATGTTAGTTTTTTGGGAACAGTTAAAAATAGATGCTTTTGTTGGCATGTTTTCACAGTAGAGTAGGATTATTATTCAAATGATCAGTTTTTCTTTCTTGTGATATGAATACTATTAGTATTTTCTGAATTACCACAATTGATTTTATTTAAGGCTGGAAAAGAGAGCAGACCTACAGAAGTAAATGGCTAATGACACATTTACATCACACATACATGGGAAAGGCTATTCACAAAAAAAATGAGAATGTATCTTGTGGTCAGAAGCACAAAAGAGATGCCGCAAGGTGTCACTAGTATCATCTGATATCAAACATAAACCTTAATTTCCCTCACTCACCACCAGAGAGTCACAATGGGCAGCAGATGTTCATCGCGCGCTTTGTGTTTTATACTTTATCAAGCCAATGAGCAGATCTGTCACTATACTGACCTGAAAAAAGCAGATTGCCATGGGACTTCCAGCTCCTCTGTGTCTATCTTGCTCACTTCAAAGCAACAGAAAAGCAAGTTTTAGTTCAAAACAGACAGAGGATAAAAAGACACTTTTTACTACCCTTTCTGAAATGCTATTTCCTTGGATTACCAATGGATTTGCTTGTACCTTGAAAGAGATTTTGGTCTTCCTGCTGCAGCAGGTATTAAAGCAAAAGCTGTTTCAATTGAGAGGTGAGCATTTCAGAAAAGCATGAGTTAATAACGAGAGCATGGGATCACATTTATTCACATCTATTCCTGTGCTACAAAAGACACATGCATTATAGACTTTATGGGATGTGGTATGTTAACAAGGCAACTTAAATAATGTGATGCTTAAAAGATATGTGTCTAATATCCAGTGAATATGTTCCTTTTTCCTCCCTAAATGTTTTATACATCTTGATAAAGGAGTTCCTATCACATATCCTATGTGTGACATGTATGGTTAGCCATGGCTGGCTATGGACTGTGTCCCATGCATGGCTAGCTCTGATTTCAATTAGAGCTGAGTTACTCAATGCAGACACACAACCTACCAAGTCAGGTGTGATGGGATGTCCCTCAAAAATCATTAGGTTGCATTGTTCATTCATTGCAATGAGAATCAAAGAAATTAACTGTGAGTTCCGCTCTAGGGACCCAAGGAAAAAACAACAACATTGTTAAATAAGACAAAAAAAACAATGTGCTTGGCTTGAATAGCATTACTTCTCCAAAGCTCAACCATATTAGGATCATTTTAAACTGTTCGCTGAAAAAGAATATTGCAAATTCATTAATGTGTTACTAACTCTCTGAATGGCACATATGTCACATAGGAATGGTTACCTGGATGCCAACTGATGACAGCAAAGTGGAGTTGAAACCATTTTCATATCACCAGTTTCATTCAGCAGAATCCTTTAATTTTTTGCCTGAGACAACAGGTGCATTGTCTTCTGGAGTGAATAATTAATGAGG